TGGTGAGTTCCCCGGTGAGCCAGCAAAAGAGCTCTCTCTGCACCGATCCTGTAGACCAGAATCCCATCTTCAGCTGGCTTCAAAAGGGCACAAGGTATTTCTGGGAATTGAGGGACTTGGTTTCAGCTCTCAGAGAGCAGAGAAGCCCAGGCTGGGCGGGGAAAGGGGACTCTGGAATTAGTTTGTTTTTAACTGTTGAACGGCCACTTGGAGGGGGTACTCTCTATTGTTGTTGAAAAGTGGGTTACTCTTCAAGTTGAACGGCCACTTGGGGGGTACTCTCTATTGTTGTTGAAAAGAGGGTTACTCTTCATTGATGAACAGCTATTGTTCCTGGAAGGGGTTAATTCCTCAGTATTCCGAGATCTGTAGGTTTGGTTTTTTTTCTGACTGTTTTCAAAGCCCCGCCGCTTTTGGGAGTCTCCTTAAGTATTGCTCAGGGGACTTTCTGTTTTGTGCTATGGAATAATTCATTTCTTGTCTTGCACTGTCATCTTGTGTCCAGAGTTGGTAGCGCTTTTGCCGTAAAGTTTTTTTCCTTCCGGGTTTTTGGTTTTTTAAATTATTGATGGTTTATTGATCTGGTTTAGTAAATCTGGGGAAAGATCATCCTGTTGAAAGGCTTGTCATTCTGCACTGCACTACACTGCACTGCACTGCACTGCTGCCCCAATGGAAGTCAAAGAAACAAGGAAGCAACATCAGATGACGGGGCACCCAGTGTCCCAGAAGATTTGCAAGATGAATTGAAAGTGCTGTTTTTAAAAGTGTTGTTTTACAAAGCTATTCTAGCACCTGAACTCTCCTGTCCAGGATTTAAGCAAAAGCCTGTTCTCTGTTAAATATTTTAACTGAGTTTTTGTTGTAAGCATATGTACTTCTATGTTTCTTGCGTCAAAGCCGCACTGCCTAAACCCAAGCCCCAACCATCCCCCATGACTGAAAGGATGCTAATGATCGCCAGAGCTTATACAGGTGTAAGACGAGCTCCAGTAGTTGTCAGTGAACTATAAATCTTCACTTCACCAAGATAGGGGGGATTTGTTATATGCACAGTTTATGAAACACTTTGTACTCTGCCACTGACTAACAGGTTTAACTTAATAGGTGCACTTAGCACTTCCATGGTGCATATGTTAAGTACCATTTATGATTCTAACATCACAAATGTTTTCAGGTATTAACTTTGGTTCATTTGTGACTGTTGTTTGGATGCATGCTGGGAAGATAAAATGCTGACGCTTGTGACCTTGTTATGGCCCGCTGTAACTGCGCATGTTCCTGATGTCAGTTAGCTTGCGTTAAATGGAAACCATACTACATGATGTACCCATATCTCTTACATTAGATTTTATCACTTCATAGCCTGGGAAGAAGAAGGCCCATTGTTCAACTGAAGAAGGTATATTTTTGCCTGAGAAAGTCCAACCTACAGGCCTGGACCCAATCAGAATGGTGTGACGGATATATGACAAAGTTTGATGGAACCGATAATTATGATTTATTTCTGTCATAGGGGGTATAAAACTTTATGTCTCCCATTGTAACCTTAGGGAGAGCTGTGGGATCCAAAACCTTATTGGATCTGCACCTTCCTCCTTTGTTGATCAATAAAGTACAAGATCTGACTCTGCTCCACAGGATTGAAATGAGCGTTTTCTCAAATTGGGCTGGGGAAGCACACACATACTCAGACAGGATTATTTTCTGTACAACAGGATGGACCGGCTCATGAACTAAAGTTCGTGACAAATTTTGTTCGGTTTGTGGTTTGCGAACTGATGTTTCTGGCAGGTCAACCAGCACAAACGTTCCACGAACTTTCAAGCAGCTCATGGTGGTTCATGAATGGATGCATTTCCAGACAGACATTCTCCACGCAATCAAAATGTATACCAAACTTTAAAGCAATATGGGGGGGGGCAGAATTCTCCAGCCCTGGAAACACCAATAGGGCCCCTCCAAAGCGTAACAGGCACTGCTGGCTGCCAGTAGCAGAGTTCCCATTCTGCTCTATGGGATCAGAATGCTATATATACCCTCAGCTTAGCTCCACACCCTCTCCTCTGTTGGGTGTTGGTAGTTAGAGAGAGAGGCAGGGGACTTGTTAGAAGCAGAGTACATTCATTTATTCCTGATTGAGAACACCTCTGCCCTAGTGGGGTTTGAATGTTAGGTGGACTCATGGCTCCAAGCCAGCCGTCTCTCTGCTCACGCCGAACAGAGGGGCTTAGCTACTGGGTGCCTTGACTGAGGGCCCATAGTTATATATCCCACTCCTCCTGATTGTGAACAACTCTCCCCTGGTGGGGTTTGGGTGTTAGGTGGACTCAGGGCTCTGAGACACCCATCTTTCTGCTCATCCCAAGTAAAGGGGCTTAGCTATTGGGTGCCTTGACTGAGGACACAGTTATACATCCCACCCCTCCTGATTGTGAACAATTCTCCCCTGCTGGGGTTTGGGTGTTAGGTGGACTCAAGGCTCTGAGCCGTCCATCTCTCTGCTCATGCCAAGTAAAGGGGCTTAGCTACTGGGTGCCGCAGCTGAGGACCCACATTTTATACCTTCTCACATTTTATATCCTACCTGTGTGTTTCAGCCTGGGAGGGGGGCTGTGAGGGTTGTGGGCAAACTTCCCTTGCTTGTGTTGTGTGGCTAGGGTGCCTGCCAAGCTGCTATGGGGTTACTTTGGGGAGCCCCTGTCAAAACTCTGGGTACGTTTGCCTTTCTGTCCTTCAGAACCTGCCTTTGGAGATTTGGGAGGGGGCTGCGAGCATAAGAGGGATGCTTGCCTTGCTTCCATTGTTTGGCTGGTGTGGGTCTAACCAGGTGAAGTTTCCCTGTGAGTTTGGTGTCACTGGCTTGTTCCTGAGCGGTTCCATAGCCTCCTGCATTCTTTTGATCTGTTAAAAAATGTGCCCTCGCTGTTTTGCATGCTAATTTAACAAACCACGTGGAGGGGAGCGGTGGCGCAGTGGGTAAATCCCCTGCATAACTATAACATCTGAACTGCCACCTTTGTTAGTTCTAGCCCCGTGCTGGTGTGAGCAGCCAAGCCTTGTCCCTAGCTCATCGTCTACCCAGCGATTCGAAAGCTTCGGCAAGTAGATAAATTGGGGATTACCCATAAGGGGGTGGGCACACCACTCCCCTTGGGGGGTGTTAGCTGCCAGTGTGACATCTGCGGTGCGGCAGAGATCAAAAAGTGGAAAAATCTGTTTTGGCATTCCCTGCAGTGGAGTGAATCGGCCAGGCGGTGGCACTGTGGCAGTGCGACATCGAGAGCCCTGACGTCATCAGCCAGCCAACAGAATACATGCCGTCGGGACATGACTGATACAGCCTGCAGATGGATCCTCCGACCAGCTACAATGTGTGTGTGATTAAATATTGTATGTTGTCTTCCCTATCCCCCACGAATATATTGTTAGTCCATTGTCTCTGAGTAACTGTAAATCACTCTGAGCCCGCATGAGTGGGAAAAAGCGATCAATAAATTGAAAGAATTATTATTATTATTTATTATTATATATACAACTATGGTATGTAATTCCATTTCATCATCCAACAAAGTGTGCATGCACACGAAAGCTCACACCTTGAATAAAACTTTGTTGGTCTTAAAGGTGTCATTGGACTCTAACTTTGTTCTATGGCTTCAGACCAACATGGCTACCCACCTTGATATTCCTAGTCACCGTTTGTCAACATTACAGCAGCTACAGTTTCATATGATTTAGAAATAACATAATTCTTCCAGACCTCGTTCATCCTTAACGAGGATCAAGTTGTGCTTTCACACACTGTTACATTATGCAGCACTAAAAGACTAAGTTGTTCATACTGATTTCACAATCCTACAAGTGGGGGATGGAAAATACCACCCCTCACTGGCTCCCATTTTCTTCCTCTTGCTCTATCTCCTCCCCTGCCTTCCTCCCCAACCTTCTCTGTCATGCACTCCCACTTCCCCACGGTGATCCCTAACTTTAAAAAAAGTTGTTTTTTTGTAATTCTGCAAATGTGTAGGTATCACAAGCAGTGTTCCCTCTAAGCTGAGCTAGCTCACAGTTTTTTAGCCTCCGGCTCACACATTTTTGTCTCAGCTCAGGAAGCATGGCTCCAGAGCAAACTAATTTATGCAGTAGCCAAATCACTCGCTCACAACTTTAATACTACCGTAGTAGCTCACAAAGTAGAACTTTTGCTCACAAGACTCTACAGCTTAGAGGGAACATTGATCACAAGTTATTTTGGGGATTAACCCCATACACAGAATGTTCTGGCCCCATTGTACAGATTAATTGTAATTTACTTTGAGAGCTGATTGTTATAACATAAATTGATTTAAAACACACACTTTTATCAGCCCATGTTATGTAACACATTAGAAAATAAATCAAGTGTGCACTTATAGAAGAGTTGTTAAACCTCACAGACATGCAATCTTCATCTGTAGAATATTTTCTAAGGACTTTGCAGAAATTAAAAAATAGTTCAGGGTCTGGTTGGATGGCATGTGATACAGTCATCTTGCTTAAACTAAGTAGGTGAATCCTTGGGCCTTCAGGGAAGCTTACAGAAGCCAACTTGAGTTCAATTATCAAAGATGGAATAAAACAGTTACCACTAGACTATACTAAGGCTATGTAGGAGAGTTTCCTGTTCTCCAGCATGGTACTCTGAAAATGTAATAAAAGAGGGTGACATTTCCACTTTTCTCATTACTAATTTAGGCAAAAGGGAACGGCAGCCAAAAAAGCTATTTATAAACTGAGTCACCAAGGCCAGCCAGAAGCAAGAGAGGATGTGTGAGAAGTGTTTAACAGGTGCAGGCACACTGCGCATGGCCGGTCACACTATGCTCAAGATTGGCTCAGAGGGCCTCTGAGGCTCATGATCACAGGGAGTGCTTTTCCATTTCCTCCATGGGGCGGGGAAGAGGAGAGAGAAAGGGGAGAGGCCACGACTGCTCTGGTATATAAACGACAGCTACACAAGCCTTTTTCCTGAATGAAATAGTTCAAGCAAAGCAAAAGGCAGAGCAGAAGATCTTTGCTCTCTTGCATTACCCTCTTCCCACCTTTATTTCTGCATTCCTACCCAAAGAAGAAACAGGAAGATGAAATACATCATTGGAATAGGAGGGTAAGTTGCTACATTTCTTTCTTGCTGTTTTGTCTTTTTTTTTGTTACCCTTGCATGCTCCCAGCATTTGAAACGTATTTGGACATTAATTGAAAAAAAGGTGAACTTCCAATAGAAAATAGCATTCACCGGGGCATCCTGTCTTTTTTTTAACATACCATCTCAGGCTCTGTAAAACCAATCTTTTTTGATATTTTTGTTAGCCACCTTATAGTTTACAGAAATGTGTGAACTATACATTTACTCAGTAGCTAAACGCAGACTTAAAAAATGGATAATAGTGTTGTTTTTTTAAATCACTCTCTAATAAATCTGCATTTTGATACAGCAAACCAGTGGGTCGGATTAAGAGTAGTTTCATCACTTCACAGAAATATCTTTAGGTAGTTTTTTGATCTTGGAAAGGGGTGCTATCAACCACAATTTTATGATACGGGGAAGCGCTTCATAAAACAACCTGAAATTGCATGCCAGTGTTACAAAAGTGACAGAATTAACCTTTAAAATTAACCTTTAAAAAGTTTTGGCACAGAGGGAATGAAATTCCAAGTAAATGACCGCCACTGTTGAATGGGGAAAGGGGAGAGGATTATAGAATATGGCATTATACTTCCAAACATGGAAGAGAGCCATAACCAGGGTATTATAGGACTGCCCAACCACTTGTCTGTAATGTTTAAAGCCTAAAACTGTTTAAATGCTGAACTTTCCACTAAACCAGGGAAAAGGCAGGATTGTCATTTTGAAATTTAACTCGTAAGAGGGCGTTTACAAGGATCCCTGATAGTGTTATTCTATCCTAAAAGGTACTGCTTTCTCTAAAGACATGGCGATCTAAAAAGAGCAGATATTTCATTTGCAAAGAGCAAAAGTGGACAGCAGATAGGCAAGCTGAGCTATAGTGTTCTGTACTTCACTCCCTTCTAGAGTACGACCTAAAGGACATAGTTGTTCAGATGTGACACCAAACCCAAGCTTAGAAATATGGTTTGTGACGGGCCACTGATCAAGCCAGAATCTGAGACTCTGTCGTCTGAAGCAGGATTGCAGTTTTGTCACACCACGGCAAACTGACCGTGGCTGGGCACCGCATCCAAAATGATAAAGATGTTTAACCCAGGTTCTGTGAACCTCTTCCCTCCATAAAACAGAAAAGAGAACTTTGCATTTCAAGAAAGATTCGGGTGGATAGCCATGTTGGTCTCCTGCAAGAGAAGGAAGTCTGAGTCCAGTGGCACCTTTCAGGCCAACAAAAGTTTAATTCTGGGTATATGCTTTCTCCTGCATGCATGTCTCTGAAGAAGTGAGCCTGCACAGAGAGAGGTTATCCCCAGAATTAAACTTTTGTTTGCAATTCCAGGCTGCCTCCTGCTCCACAGCCTTGCACCACCTGATCCCAAAGCACATACATGCAAAGGCACTTTAGGGAATCAAAATGCTGCCACCTGTCTTTTTTTCAACAGTCCCCCCCCCCCTCTTTTGCATTGGTGAAAGAGGACACGTTGGGCTTCACTTCCAACAGATTTCACGGCTGCTTTTAAAGTTTCCTACGACCCTGTTCTGTCTCTCAGGATCCAACTCAGGGAACTCCAGGCAATGCTCCCTCTAAGCTCTGGAGTCTTGTGAGCAAAATTTCTACTTTGTGAGCTGCTGGCATTAAAGTTGTGAGGGAGCGATTTGGCTACTGTATACATTAGTTTGCTCTGGAGCCATCCTTACTGAGCTAAGACAAGAATCTGTGAGCCAGAGGCTAAAAAACGGTGAGCTAGCTCATACTAACTCAGCTTAGAGGGAACACTGTTCTGGAGCCCTCTTTCTTGAGCTGAGACAAAAATGTGTGAGCCAGAGGCTAAAAAACTGTGAGCTAGCTCACACTCGCTCAGCTTAGAGGGAAACACTGACTCCAGGGGCGAGTTGTTTTTTTTTTTAACTCTTCTTAGCTCATGGAGTCATTTTTGTTCTGGAAAAGCAGGAATAAAGAGCAATTGATTATTGCTACGTGAGTTTAAAAGTTCGGTGTGGGGAAAGGTGGGGGGGGGAGAGAAATGCTTCCTTTTGTCACCCAACGTCTCTCCCGCCTTCCCCTCACAGGGAACAAAAACAAATCCCCTCAGGGAAATTCCCGCCTTCCCCCCACTTTCTCCCCGACCGCGCGCGCGGGCGCCATAAAAAACACACACCAGGATTAAAAAATAACGGACAACGCGGGACCAACAGATCGCCCGCCCGCGCGCGCACGAACGAATCAACCGAAGGGAACGGTAAACGTCACGAAATCCCCGCCCATTCATTTGCTCCGCTCCGCCATCCAATCATAAACCCAGCATTTGGCGGGGGGGGGGGGGGTGTGGGGGGGGGGGGGGGGAGAATCGGCGGGCAATTCAAAAGTCCTCGCTGCTCCGCCCTTTCCTTGTGTTGTCATCCGAGGCGTCCTCTCCCGCGCTTTGGCAGCAGACTATGGAATCGTTGCCAAATGTCCTCTTTTTTTGTTTGTCCGTCCATGGGGGGGGGGGGCTCTTTAAAAAAAAAAGAAATAAACTGATGAAAATGTCCTCTTTCTGGGTTGGCAGTTTAGGAGCAGTGTTCCCTCTAGCAGGGTTACTGTGCGAGCTAGCTCACAGGTTTTTTTAGCCTCCGGCTCAGACATTGTTTTGTCTCAGCTCAGGAAGGGAGGGCTCCAGAGCAAACTAATTTATGTAGTAGCCAAATTACTCACTCACAACTGTAATGCCAGTTGCTCACAAAAGTAGAATTTGTGCTCACAAGACTCCACAGCTCAGGGACCTTTGCTCACCACCTCCCGAGGCAACTGATTCCACTTTTGCACAATTCTTACCGTGAAAAAGTTTTTCCTAATATCCAGCCGGTACCTTCCCACCCTGACAGCCCTTCAGATACTTCAAGAGAGCCATCCTGTGCCAGTGTTCCCTCTAAGCTGAGTGAGTGTGAGCGAGCTCACAGTTTTTTAGCCTATGGCTCACTGATTTTTCTCTCAGCTCAGGAAGGAGGGCTCCAGAGGCAAACTTATTTATGAAGGAGCCAAATCGCGCACTCACCGCTTTAATGCTGGTCGCTCACAAAGTAGAATTTTTGCTCACAAGACTCCACGACTTAGAGGGAGCATTTGGAGTATCCCCAGTTAGTAGCAGTTATCCCAGCTTCGATAGCAGGGGTATTTAAAATGAGATGTGTCAATAGGGATCACTTGTTCGAAGTAGTTAGTTGGGAAGTAGGTCCTCTTTTGTTTTTGTTTTTTTGCTTTTCAAAATATGGTAACCCGAATGTGGTACCTATTTGGCCAATCTGGCTTGAGTTCTAGTGGGGCTTGCTCTTATAGAAGCGTGCAGAGCTGTGCAGAATAAGCTCGCCGATGTTTACTTGGAAGGAAACCCCAGTGGAGTTCCAGTGGGGCTTCTTCCCAGTCCAGAGTAGCCTTAAAAGATTGGACTTGTGCCATTTAAGAGTTACATACTGACAGTCAGTAGTGTGACCAGGGTCACTGGTGGCGGGGGGGGGACGACCCAGCAGGCTTGAGCCAATTTAGGGATGCCAGCCTCCAGGTGAGACCTGGGGATCCCCTGGAATTACAGTTTATCTCCAGACTACACAAATTGATTCCCCTGGAGAAAAAAGGATGCTTTGGAGGGTGGACTCTATGGCATTGCGCCCCCACTGAGGTCCCTGCCCTCAGGCTCCACCCCCAGATCTCAAGGAGTTTCCCAACCTGGATCGGGCAACTTCCCCCACTGATGGCCAGGGAGGACCTGACAACTCCAAATCACTTTGTCTGCCTGCCCTACCTCGCAGGGTTGATTTTAGCTAAGGGGGAAAGACATTTTGTGGTTGGAGTATACCCCCCACTTGTTTTACAAGAGTCATAATTAGGAGACTCCAAGATATTAAGCCTGAGTTTCTAAAGAGAAAGGGAGGTGGATTTTCTGTATTTCAGTTCCCTTTTAGCTGAAGGTGGACACTTGACCCTCTGTCCTTCACGGGCTGTGCGACCGACCGGCAGGAATTCAGTAAGTGCTGCACCACTCTCTTCCCCTTTCCCTGCTGAGCAAAAGCTCCACTTGTTTGGGGTTGTTGTGTTTTTTGCCTGAACTGCACATGTTCAGGTAACCCCATCAAACCCCTTGAAAGTCGCTGCTTGTCAGATTAGAAGAAGAAGAAGAAGAGAAGAGATTGGATTTATACCCCGCCCTTCACTTGGAGTCTCAGAGCGGCTTACAAACTCCTTTCCCTTCCCCTCCCCACAAGAGACACCCTGTGAGGTGGGTGGGGCTGAGAGAACTCTGACAGAAACTGCTCTTTTTCAAGGACAGCTGTGCCAGAGCTTCTGACTGACCCAAGGTCACATCAGCAGGTGCAAGTGGAGGAGTGGGGAATCAAACCCAGTTCTCCCAGATTAGAGTCTGCACACTTAACCACTACACCAAACTGGCTTAGAAAGTACTAACCTTGATAAGATTAAATGTACAAGCTAGGGAAATCAACATAAAGTGCATAATTCCAGTACTTGTCTAGAACTCCCCCTTTTGAGTTGACCGGGTCCCTGCATCTTCAGCAGCTCCACAGCAGGCAGAAATTCAACAAGGGGCAGCTTTTTCCCTCAGTCCCTGTTGGATTGCTGCCTGTCATGTCACTTTTTGAGGACCTGCCAGAAAAGAAGGCAATCAGCCAAATCACACTGATTTTCTGTATCTCATCGCAAATAACAAAATTGGTACAATTCTAATAGTTTAAGGTACAACCCCCAAAATGGACCCTCTTGATCCCATTAAAGTGGGATGGAAAAGCAGGAACACTGGAATTCCCATTATTATCTGTCAGTCAGTCAGGCATTTATTACGGCAACAAGCCATAGAACACACATGCTTAAATATAACATTGATAACATTCCAAATCCAAAGCCTTTTATTGGCATATAAATAAAGATACAGTAATCTAAATACGAAATCATGCAGAGTAAAATTAAAATTGCAGAGTAACATCACAGAGTAACATCATAATAAAACCTAATTCATAATATCACTTATCAGGCCAACCGTGGCACTGAAGAGAAACTTTGCTACTATTTCAGTTATTTCTGTGTCTGGATTATTGAGCAAGAAAAGGAGTTTAAAATCATCAGGGGTCTCTAAAAATTGGCTTAATATGGGATATAGAAGATCCCGACGGGACGCCAAATAGAGAGGGCACTGGAGGAGGACATGGGCAACAGTTTCAACACAGTCCTTCATACAAGGACAGCCCCTGCTAGGATAGGGAATCCCTTGGAATCTGCCAGATAAGATAGCTGAAGGAAGAACATTAAATCTAGCCAAAGATATGGCTCTACGCAAATTTGGAGCTATGAGTTGATAGAGGTATACTGCTGGAAGATTTGCATTAGGAATAATCCCCGGATTTAAGGGAGAACAGGTTCTGTTAGCCAGGCTATAAAGAGTTTGTAGCTCTGATCCCAATAAACTAGATTTTATTTTTTTAAAGGCTGCAGACTCATAACATTCATATAACTGAATTTAGGACAGTAAAATAAAACTTTATAAAAATACAGTTGAGCGTAATAAAGTAAAAGAAGAACATAAAACAGAGACTATTAGGCAACTATTATCAGGGGTCAATTCCTGTATTTCGGATGCAGTAGCATGCTACCCAAAATTTTGCCACAGTTTCGGTAATTGTCCAGTTCCCATCAATTAACAATCGGTTACACTGCTCAGCACCTGATTGTCCTACCATATCTGTTATAAGAGGAGTAATATATTTGTCATGGATCTTGTTATACCAGTTACATCTGAGCATCATGTGCTCAATAGTTTCTATGCATGTAGAGAAAAAAAGTACAATCAGTGTGACCAGAAGGCTATGAAAATGTAAAACGTATTTCAGTGCAGAAGTGAAATGCATACAAGATAAAAGCAGTAACTATTTACAATAGAAGTATGTAGGCAGAGACTATCTTTTATCTGCATATAATGGGAAAGATTCAGGTGGGTAGCCATGTTGGTCTAAAGCAGCAGAACAAAGTTTTAGTCCAGTGGCACCTTTAAGTCTAACAAAGTTTTATTCAAGGTATAAGCTTGGGAAAGCCTCACATCTGGCTAATGTGAAGGTTTTCCTAAACTTGTGAGTATCAAGCAGCGATAAATAGGACATGGGTTGCAAGCGATATTTGACAGAATTTGGGGCTCTAAGCTTAGGACATCTACCGAGATCTGTCTTATTATCTGTGGATTTGTTTAAAGATGGACTCTCCTCCTTAACCCTCCTCCAGATCTTTTCAGTCAAGATGCATTGAATGCTGAAGAAAGTTCACCTTCTTTTCAGTTATTAACATTTGACATGTTGACTATGCACAAAGGTGGCATGTGTTCATTGAACTCCTCTCAGCCCCCTTTATCGTTCTAATGTTGTCTTCTGCAATTCTGCTCCAAATTCTTTTCTTATGTAGCGTGACCAATGGTGGGAAAACCACTCTGACCAATAGACTTATCAAAGCACTTCCAAACTGTTGCGTTGTCCATCAAGATGACTTTTTCAAGGTAAGCATAATTATTCCTGTTTAACTTATTTTTTTAAAGCATATTGTTCTTGCAGTGATTTAAATGGGCAGTACGCATCCTAAAGAGTCCGAGAGCATTGCTTTGTTAGCACAAACCAGGTATGCATGTATATGCCCCACTTTTGTGCATGGATGTGTGTGTTGGCATAAATTTATTTTGTCAAGTACAAGAAGTGATTTATTATAAGAAATTGTTCAAGGTGCATGTGTGTGTTGCTATCTATCTAGATAGATATAGATATCCACACACATACTGTTTTGCTCCAGATTAGCTAACCTGGAATAACTATTCCTTCATTTTGTGATTGCAACAATACCTAACATGGATTAATATATAGTCCATCCAAACATCTTGAAAATGTAAGGATGGGGGAAACACCTTTAACATTCTTTAACCACTCTGTTGTGAAAACAATAAATTAGGCATTAAAGGGCAATTAATCTGCTTTAAATTGATTTTGAGTGCGCTCCTACAGTCGCTGCCATGGACACTAGCAGTATATCAAGCAATGGTTTTCAAACTTCCTTTTCCAATAACCCTTTCTGTGGCTACCAAGAAACTGCTACATGTTCCAGAGGTTTCTGAGTCATGTTCTAAGACACATACTTTGTTAATCTGTGTCTCCATTTGGATCTCCCTTGCTTCCAGCATGCACAGTAAAAGGTAAAGGTTTCCCTTGCTCGAAAGCCAGTCGAGTCCGACTCTAGGGTTGCGGTGCTCATCTCCGTTTCAAAGCCGAAGAGCCAGCGCTGTCCGAAGACGCTTCCATGGTCATGTGGCCGGCATGACTAAACACCAAGGCGCACGGAACGCTGTTACCTTCCCACCGAAGGGGTACCTATGTATCTACTTGCGATTTCTTGCTTTCGAACTGCTAGGTTGGCAGGAGCTGGAACTAGAGATGGGAGCTCACTCCACCATGCGGCACCAGGGTCTCGAACTGCTGAACTACTGACCTTCCACAGCCTGCAGTTCAGCGTCTTAACCACTTGAGCCACCACAGCTCCAACATGCACAGAGGTTGTGCTTAAAACATATCCAGAGTCCCATTTCTGTACATTACAGGGAAAAACCAGGAAACAAATGTTCAGGAACATTTTCTTCCATTAGTAATCTTCCCACTGAGAAATCCCCCCCCCCAGCAGACTTTGAAATCTACAGTATATAAACAGTGCTTCATGTACTAATTAAACATGTCCTTTAAGTGGACTATCATACACATACACACACACTTAATCCACACACACACACACAGGCCATGGTGGCTCAGAGGTTAAGATGTTGAGCTGCAGCCTGGAGTTCAGCAGTTTGAGACCCTAGTGCCACGTGATGGAGTGAGCTCCCATCTCTGGCCCCAGCTCCTGCCAACCTAGCAGTCTGAAAGCAAGAAATTGCAGGTAGATAAATAGGTGCCACTTTGGTGGGAAGGTATCAGCGTTCCGTGCGCCTTGGTGTTTAGTCATGCTGGCCACATGACCACAAAAACGTCTTCGGACAGCGCTGGCTCTTCGGCTTGGAAACGGAGATCAGCACTGCCCCCTAGAATCTGATTCGACTGGCTTTCGAGCAGGGGAAACCTTTACACACACACACACACACACAAACACACACACAAAATCAATGGGCTTTAAATTGCTGCTAACTATGTCCCAGGATGTGGCCAGTTTGTGCAGTCAAATATATTATTTGGCATAACAAATGAATTAATTCTGAAGGACATGCTGGCATTTAAACAAGAATTGATAATGGATCTTGTTTTAAAGAATATAAATCCTTTCTTTTTTTCCGTTATATTATTACCCTTCCTCTGAGTTGCTACTTCAAGTATCCCCTATAACATATTTTTAAAGCTCTCCTACATTTTTGCCTTTGAATTGTAGGCTTGCCAAGTCCCCCTGGGGGGCGGGCAAACCCCCGCCCCAGAGGCCCGTTCCCGCCGCGGGCAGATCAGGCCCCGGGGGGAACCCCACCCCCAAAGCACGCACACTGGGGGCACCGATCCGACTTGGGAACCCTATTGAATTGTAATCTCAGAACTTTTTAAAATGCAGTTTCCAGATACATTTATTTACTACTTCATGCCTTCATAGTCAAAAGAAAAAAACCCTCAATCTGACAACACAATATTTCTGCATAGACAGCTATTGCTATGTGCAGTCAGTGTTCTGTCTGTTTTAAAACAACCCAGCTAATTCTAGGGGATAGTTTGTTCCACAGGGCCAGAAATGTGTTGCTTCTATTTTTGTTTGATAAACTACAACACAACTTAACATAATGAAAGGAAGTTGTTGCAAGCATATGTAGAAACTGCTTTTTTCACTTCTGCCCCCAGCAGAGGCCGTTTACAAACACACACACTTCTACTATTCCCAAAACTACTTCCTTTTACTAGAGATTCTCATTCATAGAGCTGTTATGTACATTTGAAAATCAGCAATCCCAAATGCATTGTGGGAGATCCATGACTCACTTGCATGTCCCCCTACATGCATATTATGTAACATTTGTCTGCAAGATTTATGCACACACATGAGTACATATGTGTACCCAACATGTAAGAACTCTTACATGTGGCATGGTTCAGAATACTGCACCACACCACCTATTATATACCATTGCTAGAAGAACATACATGTTGTAGTTACACCATACAGTAGGACATACTCTTAATTTTCAGTAGAAAATATTTCCAAGTTAGTGTCCTTAGGCTCACACAACCATAAACTAGCATATATCTGTATGGCCTCAATGATCCATTCTATAGAAGACCAGATGGAACAGACAGGACCAGGGCAAGATGTTCCTTTAAGAGCTGTGTAGAAGAAAGCCTGCAGCATTGTGACATAACAAGCAACAGGTGTGGAGCATCCCTTACTTGCACTGCTCTTAAAGGCACCAAAGCTCATTTTGTGTATGTACACCATTGTAGCCTACTGTTCCTGAATTACATTACAGGCAATTGCTATCTAGTAAATTATGGACGTAAATTATGGACTAGTACAATCCTATCCAGGAGCTGCGGTGGCTCAAGTGGTTAAGACGCTGAACTGCAGGCTGTGGAAGGTCAGTAGTTCAGCAGTTCGAGACCCGGGTGCCGCATGACGGAGTGAGCTCCCGTCTCTAGTTCCAGCTCCTGCCAACCTAGCAATTCGAAAGCAAGAAATTGCAAGTAGATAAATAGGTACCACTTAGGTGGGAAGGTTACAGCGTTCCGTGCGCCTTGGTGTTTAGTCATGCTGGCCACATGACCACGGAAACGTCTTCGGACAGCGCTGGCTCTTCGGCTTTGAAATGGATTCAACTGGCTTTCGAGCAAGGGAACCTTTACCTTTACCTTACAATCCTATCCAGAGAGGAATGGGAAGAATAGTATATTTCCCTATACAGAAGAAATTTACTAATGAAAAAAATAGCCATTTGTAGCTTAAGATCAGTTTAACGATCAGTTAAAACCCTCTCAAAAGCTTCTCAACAAGACGTTTCCTTTCCCTAAAATCATATATCTAATAGTGATGCATAGCTCTAAGGTTGCCAACAGGCCTGGGGCAAAACATCCTGCCCCTTTAATGGAGGCTTCGGGTGTGGAAATGGATAGCTTAAAAGTCTTTATGGCGTGGAGGTAAATAACGTCACCTAGTAAATAACGCCCCCATTAAGCCTCTGTTAAAGGGACAGAACACATAAATTGCTGGGGAAAAATAGTTTTAAAAAAATGTCCGACACCTTGGGTTGCTCAGCAACCCAGGATGCTGTGGGAAAAGAAGCATTTTTTTTAAAAAAAAATAGGGGTGGGTGTGGGAACCAGGCAGCTGGAAAGGCTGGATGGGGGATGTAGGACTGAGTGAATCAGGGAGGGAGGAAATATAGGTGACTGGGTGGGTTGGGGAGAAGGGAGGAAAACCATGCAATTGGGTAGGTTGGGAAAGGGCCTGAAAGAAGCAGGACAAGAAAGGAGGAAGAGTGGGCAGTGGGGTGGGTTTACCTTCCCTCATGAGTCCTCGCAGCAGGTCCCCCCCCTTGGGCCTGTATAATAGGGAGCATACCCAGGGGACCAGCCACACTGGAAGATGCTGAGATAATCCGGCTTCTTGCCATTCTATTGTACACCTTTCAATTGGCGAAGCGTTCGTAATACTTCTTCAACTTCCTGTGATTCCTGTGCAGGCTTTCCAGCTCTTGAATTAGTCCCATAAACCTGAGACAAGCAGCTTTTTAAATTCGCAGGCCATTTTAAAAAAAATAAAAAAATCTTTATTGATTTTCAAACCAAACACAAATATAAAATTTGGAAGTGATCTCGATGAGCTTTCTGCCCTGAGAAGTTTCACAACTGCTCCTGTCTGCCCATCGGGGCTGTCACAGACACAAAAACAAGCCAGGGCGGTTTGTTTTCGTGCTTAGTTGACAACCCTATATGTGACCTCAGGTCCCATCCTATGGTATGTTCAACGGCACATGAGGTTGCAGCCTTAATAAAACTAAGCAGGTCTGGCCTGGCCAGTAAGTGTATAGGAGATCTCCTGGAAACCCCATAATTGTCATCTTGAGTTCTGAAATATCCAGTATATAAATGTCAAAATATTTTAGCTCTCAGTCCCACCACTTATTGGGCCAGGCCTGCTAAGAGAATGGGGTTGTGTGGTTTCCACATAATTCTGTGCCCTGAAATTTAATTGAGTGGCTGTCACTCAACACTATTAGTGATCATATCTCCGCAGGCTAGAACCATGTGTCGTAGGGTTTGCCAACCTTCAGGTGGTGGCTGGAGATCTGCTATTACAACTGATCTCCAGGTGACAGATCAATTCACCTGGAGAAAATGGCCACTTTGAAGGTGGACTGTATGGTAATATAGCTCATTGAAGTCCCTCCTCTCTGCAAACCCCACCTTCCTCAGGCTCGACCCACCCCAAATACCCAGGTATTTCCCAACCCGAAGATAGCAACCCTAATGTATCCATACTTAATATAGCCATGAGTCTCTATAGATGCTATTTGAAATTGGGAAATTATGGTTCAGTGGAGGGTCAGAGAGGAAAGTTTCACTGGTCTTGGGACAGGGAGGAGAAAATGGGGATTGGGTCACAAACTTGCGATTTGGTGTTGTGGTATTCTGCAGCTGGGTTTTTTTTTTTTTTAATGCTAAGGGGAAACCTACTGCCTCCGTTGTGTGTATATTGTACCGTAGTGTCCAGGCTGTGATCGGGTCGTTGGTAAACTGATCACCCCTGCGTTTGCAGCAATGTTTTATTGCTCACTATATTTCAGCCACAAGATCAAATAGAAGTCGGGGAAGACGGCTTTAAGCAATGGGATGGTAAGAGCGGTGTTCGCTGTAGGATGCAGTAATGTATATTTTCCTAAGTATTTTTTTTTATTTATCACTATAACATTATTAAATATTTTAATAATTTAAAAAATTAACACTTCTATAATTACAAGTTCATACACTTTCACACTCTCTGCGTGGGTTATCTCTTTTTTGACTGACTTGGGTCTGTGTCCGTATTTTCCCTTTCTTCTAACTAGTTTTGGAGTCCTTGGATATGGAAGCCATGGTGAGCACTGTCCATGCATGGATCGAGAATCCCGTGAAGTTTGCCCGATCGCACGGAGTGAGTGTTTCACCCAGCATGAAGGAGCCCAACTCTGATGATGCCCACATACTGATTGTTGAGGGCTTTCTGCTTTACAACTACAGGTAGGGCATCTATATGGTGGTGCTACTTTTAGTGCAGAGGTGTCGAGCTCATTTGTTACGAGGGCCGGACCTGATATAAATGTCCCTTTGTCTGGCTGGGCCAGGAGTGCTGTAAAATGTAATGCCGGGTACCGGTGATGGTAGCAGCGACAGTGACTTTATACAGGACACAGACAAACTCAAGTAACGATATTGTTTTTGACTCAAAATACAAGCATGCTTAAAACGTTAAGACTCTTACAGTGTTCCCTCTCCCTGATGCCCACCCTCCCACTTTCATTGCCCATTACTCATTAGCACTGGGACAGTCTACAGGGACATAATGCCCAGGCTCTGTCATCTGGCAATAAAGGTAATGACCAGTTGCTTGCCGGCTGGATAAGAGCCCCGGATGGGCCGCTTCCGGCCCGTGGGCCATATGTTTGACACCCCTGTTTTAGTGGTTGTGCCAACTTTTATTTTAATGGTGTCCTGCACTTAAATAGCAATTTTGATCTGTAGCCAATAGCGGGCGATAATTTATTTATTTATTTAATTATTTTATTACATTTATATCCTGCACCTCCCCGCTGAAGCAGGCTCAGGGCAGCTTACAGTATACACATATAAATATGTATGTTAAAACACTAACTCATATAATTAAAATTCCAGTGTATAAAATCATATACATACAAAGAGGAAGACAGAGTCAGGATTCAAAATGATCTAGATAGGCTGGAACAGTGGGCTGAGACAAATAAAATGAATTTCAATAGAGATAAGTGCAAAGTCCTACACTTAGGTACAAAAAATCAAAGGCACAGATATAGAATGGGAGGGACTTGTCTTGACAGCAGCACATGTGAAAGGGATCTGGGTGTTCTGGTTGAACACAAGCTAAACATGAGCCTGCAGTGCGATGTGGCTGTGAAGAAAGCTAACGCAATCTTAGGATGCATTAACAGAAGCATTGTGTCCAGATCACGGGAGGTGGTAGTTCCGCTCTATTCTGCTATGGTCAGGCCTCACCTGGAGTCCTGTGTCCAGTTTTGGGCACCACATTTTAGGATGTTGACAAGCTCGAGCGTGCCCAGAAGAGGGCAACCAGGATGGTGAGAGGGCTAGAATCCAAGTCTTATGAGGAAAGGCTGAGAGAGTTGGGTGTGTTTAGCCTGGGAAAGAGAAGGCTTAGAGGGGACATGATTGCAGTCTTCAAATATCTGAAAGGCTGTCATGTAGAAGATGGAGCGGATCTATTCTCTCTTGCTCCGGATTGCAAGACTAGATCTAATGGGTGGAAATTACGAGGGAGTCGTTACCAGCTAAATATCAGGAGAAACTTCCTAACTGTGAGAGTGGTTGAACAGTGGAACAGTCTGCCTCGGGAGGTGGTGGATGCTCCTTCGCTGGACGTTTCCAAGCGGAGGCTGGATGACCATCTTTTGGGTATGTTGTAGGTATGTAGGGCTATCTTTCAGCTATGCTCCTGCAGAGTGCAGGGGGTTGGATATTGATACTAAATACACAGGAGCAGTGTTCCCTCTAAGCTGAGTCAGTGTGAGCTCGCTCACAGTTTTTTAGCCTCCAGCTCACACATTTTTTGTCTTCGCTCAGGAAGGAGGGCTCCAGAGCAAACTAATTTATGTCGTAGCCAAATCGCTGGCTCACAACTTTAATGCCAGCAGCTCACAAAGTAGAATATTTGCTCAGCTTAGAGGGGGCATTTCCACAGGAGTGGGGACGGGCCAGATTTTCTCTTCAGCCAGTCAGTCAACAGCACTAATTATTCCCAACAGAAGTGCTAATTGGCTGAACCTGAGGGGTTTCCCCCCTCCTCTGTATTTACACTACAAAACCTAAAACCAGTTTAAGAGTAGCTTAATGGTTTTCGTGTGGAATGTTAGATTTGAGTCCAGTAGTGCCTGAAAAACAGTTCTGTAGCACCTCAGAGACCAACAGGATTTTCAGGGCAGGAGCTTTCGATGGTCAGTGCTCTTGGTGGCTTGTGAGCCGTGGGGAATACTCCCCCGCGCCCCCCCCCCCAGCCAGCCTCCCCATAGCCAGCCAGTGAGTGAGAGGAGAAGGGGAGGTGAGGGAAGATTGATAGATAAGACAGGAGGGAACTTTGACAGAGAAGGGAGGAGAGGGAAGCAAAGGTGGGGGAAATGCCCCCTCCCTGCAAGTTTCTTGCGGGTCTCCGCTTGTCTTATCCTAAAGAAGTGTCCCTTATTCCAGAATAATTCTCCTGTAGAAGATAATAGATGGGACCAGTTTGGTATAGTGGTTAGGAGTGCGGACTCTAATCTGGAGGAACCAGGTTTGATTCCTTACTCCTCCCCAGGCAGCTGCTGGTGAGACCTTGGGTCCGTCATAAGCAATGTTCCCTCTAAGCTGTGGAGTCTTGTGAGCAAAAATTCTACTTTGTGAGCTACTGGCATTAAAGCTGTGAGTGAGCGATTTGGCTACTGCATGAATTAGTTTGCTCTGGAGCCATCCTTCCTGAGCTAAGACAAAAATGTGGGAGCTGGAGGCTAAGAAACAGTGAGCTAGCTCACACTAACTCAGCTTAGAGGGAACACTGGTCATAAGTTCTTTCAGAGCTGTTCTCTCAAGGGTAGTTCTCAAGAGAGCTCTCTCAGCCCCACCTACGGGGGTGTCTGTTGTGGGGAGGGGAAGGGGAAGGAGTTGTAAGCTACTCATCCGAGTGAAGAGCGGGCTATAAAATCCAATCTCTTCTTCTTCTTCTAAGTGCACGGACTCTAATGTGGGAGAACCGGGTTTGATTCCCCACTCCTCCTCCACTTGCACCTGCTGGATGACCTTGGGCAAGCCGTAGTTCTGATAAGAGCTGTTCTTGAAAAAAGAGCAGTCCCTTTTGGAGCTCTCTCAGGCCCACCCACCTCACAGGGTGTTTGCTGTGGGGAGGGGAAGGGGAAGGAGTTTGTAAGCCGCTCTGAGACTCCAAGTGAAGGGCGGGGTATAAAATCCAATCTCTTCTTCTTCTTCTAAGTGCACGGACTCTAATGTGGGAGAACCGGGTTTGATTCCCCACTCCTCCTCCACTTGCACCTGCTGGATGACCTTGGGCAAGCCGTAGTTCTCATAAGAGCTGTTCTTGAAAAAAGAGCAGTTCCTATTGGAGCTCTCTCAGCCCCACCCACATCCCAGGGTGTCTGTTGTGGGGAGGGGAAGGGGAAGGAGTTTGTAAGCCGCTCTGAGACTCCAAGTGAAGGGCGGGGTATAAAATCCAATCTCCTCTTCTTCTTCTTCTCTTCATTTCAGGCACCATAATCCCCAAAGTGCCCCTTGTTTCTGAACTGGCAGGATTTCCCAACAATGGTCCCGGTCACACGGGCAGGAAACCTCTCGGGGGAAGTGTGGACGCCCGCCCTTGCCCCGCGGTTTCCGGAAACTAGTACCTCGGAGGTACTAGTTTTTTGCCGCGTGGCTTCGGCAGGAAGCCTCGTTTGAGCCACGGGAGTGCTACACTTCCCAGATGTGCCGGTGGGATCGCGCCCGGAAAACCCGCATGTCTTCCGTCTGACTCGCATGGCTAATGTTCCGTGTGACCGCAGCCTAGGGTACCAAAAGAGAAATTATTAAGGCTCTCCACTGCTCACTTCTGTCTGCTTCCCTCACAAACTGACGGCATGAAAGGAAAGGGCATTCAAAGCACATGCAGCAGCACAACACGTTACTATTAAACAAACACTACATGCCAGCATCATCTTTAGCCTCTCCCCAATATATAAGATGATTTACGGTGTTCTGATGAAAGATTCATTCTCTGTCCCCCCTCCATATAACTCACATGGAAGGGGCCCAGAATACTGGAAAGTATAAACCTTCATCATGTCAAGACAGGATGAACTTGCCCTCGACATGATAGAGGGGGGAATTAAACACACAACTGCCGTTTTCAGTAACAGATACACATTTATTGTAGCATATAGTTCTGCCTTCGACCTGCTTGTAGAGTGTGGAAGGGGATCCCAGTCTCTCCCATCACTTAGGGAAAGGGATTGTAGGCTGCTCCTTCAGGTGGTGAAGGGCAGGGTATAAATCCAATCTCCTCTTCTTCTCCAGGCAGTGGGGGGGGGGGGGGGGGGAGAGACAAATAAATCAGATACATTCACATGAGACCCAAGGATTAATAGAGTTGGCTCAAAAGTTTGGCTCACCGAAGGCATCCCTACTTATCCTTGACATTTGAATATGGTTCACATGTGCATTTTGTTATGGGGTAATCTTGTTCAATTTTAAGGGGGAATCACTGTGCTCAAGGGGAGGAGGCCAATGATGGTTTTCGTTGCAAACAAGTTGATTATACATTAACAGCCCCAGCACTAAATTGTGCCAAGAAGACTCTTCTCTTTTAACAAAAACCCTTGGTTTTTTAAATTTATGTCATTTATTTATGTTCATAGATACACTTAGCACAACCCAGTCAGGGTGTGATTTTACATTTTCTGGAGCTTTCAAAAGTTTTCAAGGACAATCCCTCCTAAAGCACATCAAAGGCAAACAAACTGAGAGCGCGCAAGATGTTACCAGGGCCCTATTATTTTGCAGGTTTAGTCAAAACAACCCACTAAATTATCTTATCAAAATGCTGGCTTCCAATTATTAGCCTGATATCTGAAGGTCACGGCTAGGAGAAGGTATGTGCAAGTTTGCCAATCCTTTTTTTTTTTAGAAAGAAAAAAAAACACCCCAGGAGGTATGTGAAAGCTGGCAAAAGCTGAGCTGCCGTGCTTGTCCTTCTCGACAGAATGCCGGCTGTAAATCACTTATCTCTGCCGACTACATACATACCAAAAGTGTCTCTCAGGAGTGCTTTGGCAATTTGCCTCCACTCTGTGGCTATTTTGAAGGAACTGGAACACAGTGTTGTTTCCTCCTGGACTAAGCTCCCAGTGGGGGGTGGGCTCTTAGAGGCTAGTCTCTGGAATGCCTGTACTTAAGCGCCACTAAGTTGCTTGCTACGGCGACCCCACCAAGGGGCTTTCAAGGCAAGTAAGAAGCAGAGATGGTTTGCCATTGCCTTCCTCTGCAGAGTCTGCCTTGGCGGTCTCTCATCCAAGGACCACCCTTTGGGAAGGGCTGTGGCTCACTGGCAGAGCATCCGCTCGGCACGCAGAAGGTCCCAGGTTCAATCCCCGGCATCTCCAGTTAAAAGGATCAGGTAGGAGGTGATGTGAAAGACCTCCGCCTGAGACCCTGGAGAGCCGCTGCCGGTCTCAGTATACAGTACTGACTTTGATGGACTAATAATCTGATTCAGTGTAAGGCATTCCTAACAGTGTTCATGTTACTGCATCTATGGCTTTTCAATAAAAGTTGAACCTTCCTGGAAGTGTGTACTTCGTTGTTTTGCTGCGGGTCCTGACATTCTGTTAGGAATGGCGGGCTACCTGTTCGCCTAATAGGATATAGGGCATTCGTCTGCGCCCCCCCCCCCAGCAATACCCAAATAGGTGGACTCCCGCGCACGGGAGTTTGGCGGACTCTAACGGTTGCGAAGCTGGGAACGAAGGAGTTCCCACGGAAGATAGACACCACCATCTCCTCCAGTAACCTTGACAGTTAAGCACTGCAGCTTTGAAGCAATTAAGCGCATGGGAAGGAATGCAAAGCAATTAGAAAGCCTCTCCACACTCATGGCAGCTTAGCTGACAGTTTCATGTGTTCACCCCTGCTTAGTTTCCAAGATCTGTTACCTTCCCTCCTGGAACTCCAGTCACTTTGATAGATTTTTACCCGATGTCTTTGAACGACATCTGTTCTTCTACTTTGGTTAATTTAGAAATCATGCCAAGCAATCTGCCCAGGGCCAGGGGTCATTTGGGGCCGGAGCACCGCTCCAGCAGCCCAGGGGCTGGCACAAAAGGCGGTGGCGGCAAGCCCTGCCCCCAACTCCCCGTGCCGAAGCGCTGCGGCCTGGGGGAGGCCTGTCTCCAGCCTCCCAGAGCCCGTGCTGGAGCACTGCAGCCCGGGGGATGCCTGAAGAGGCCCATCACTGGCCTCCAGGGGCCCGCACTGGAGCGCTGCGGCCTGGGGGAGGCATGAGGAGGCCCATCACCGGCCTCCCGGGGCTCGTGTCGGAGCACTGCGGCCTGGGGGAGGCCTTGATCGCTGTAAGTGAGGGATCCACGGGGATCATCTTTGCCATCTTTCCCTCCTTTCCTCCTCTTCTCT